GCAAGGTGGGGGTTGGGGTGGGGGTGCGAGCAGAGGAGCAGCTGGAGTGGGGAGGGGGCCGGAGGCAGAGCCCCTGTGATGAGGCAGGCGGGTGGAATGATGGAAGATTCAATGGGCGCATGCCGGGGATCCAGTGTGGGGGCGGCAGAGGGGGCCATCAAGAATTAGCGTTTCTGCTGGCGTTGTCAACACTGGCATTACAATGTGTGAGATGGCAGATGGTGGGCGGGCTCGGCCTGATGTGTGTGTGTGTGTGTGACGGGGTGGGACTGGGGTCAGGGTGCAGGTACCTGCTGTGACTTTTGTCCCCAAGAAGGCCAAGTCTGAGATGTGTGTGCATGTGTGTACATGCGTGTGTGTGGTTCCTGTGTGCGTGAACCCACCTTCTCCCCACGTGCCACGTGGCCAGCGGGAATGACCATGAAAGAGTTCCCCGGGGACTTTTCTCTTCTTTGAGGGTGAGACTAATTTCCTAATATTCTAAATTCAACAGAAAAATTACTTAACATGGTCCGAGTTTGATTTTGGGAAAATTCGAGAGAGTTTGCCTGGCACGTTGCCACCAGAAAATCAGTCCCACATCGCGGACCCAGGCGCGGCTGAGAGGACAGGTGTCCCCGCTTACGATGGTTCCTCTCGCAGCTCCCCCGCCTCGCGATGGCGCTCAGTCGAAACTGCCCGACCACTTTTGACTTCGTTAAGTCCCCGAAACAATGGGTTTTCCCTGAGTCTGATTTAATCACTCCAAGGTCAACACATGTCAAAACCTCGCCTGCTGTACTCCGTAAGGAGAGGGAGCTGAGCCGGCCGGGACACCTCCCCTCAGGGCGGCCGTTGCTCACGGGGCTCCGCCAGACGGGGTGCTGCATCAGGCTGCAGCGTGCGGCCCAGCTCCGTGCGCACACCGCGTGGGCGCCTCTGCGTGGTGCCCCCTAGAGATGCCCCGGGACCTCGTTCACTGTCTAGGCAACACAGTGGCTCTGTTGGCCACAGGAAGCAGAGCCTCCTGCGTATGTCCGGGACTCGAACTGGTGGCCATATTGGATGCCGGCGCTGCCGGCGATGGCTTTACCCACTGTGCTACAGCAGCAGCCCTAATAAACCTTGAGGAAGCAGCAGAGCGGAGGAAATTCAGTGTCCTCTGACCCACAGTGACAAAGGTGCTTCTCTCTGCCGCACCGCACCCCTTCCTGGCATTGCCTGGGGAGAGGAAGGGGCGAGGTGGTCCAGGTGCTCCGACGGTGAGCGCGGCCAGTGCAACCAGGGACTGCCCTTGAACTCAAAGGGCTGTTCTGGACTTTCCTGGAGGGTTTTTCTCTTACGGAGCAGCCGTTTTGGTTTGTTTTGGTTGCTTTCCTCTTTTCCTTTCTCTCCCCACCTCGTCCACCCTCCCCCGCAGCCACAGCTCTTAGAGTCCAGCACACGCGAGGTTTGCTCTGAGCACCTGTCGTGGTCGGAGGGCAGCTGTGAGTCCAGCAGACCCTGCGGCGTGGGGAGGGTGTGGATCCGGGGGTGGGCGTGGAGCCTGAGAGTCAGGGTCCCCGTCCTTGCTGGGTCCCGGGTGGGGTAAGTTGCCTGGGTTTTGCAGCCCTCAGTTTGCTCATCTGTATAGTGGGAGTAAGAGGAGGCCCCTCCCGCGTAGAATTGTTGTGATGTGTTCCTGCAGCACTTGGCAGGAGGGAGGCCTGCACTGTTGCTGCTGCGGGGTCGTTGACTGAAGAAGTGTTCACTGAGCACAGCGCACGTGGCTCCCACTGTCGGGGAGTTTGTGTTCGCTTGGGAGAGGCACTGATCAGAGAAGCAGTTACATAGCAAGGAGGTGTCCGATGGCGATGGGTCAGTTGTCCCGGAGGTGTGCTCGTAAAAGCTTAGCCTCCAGAGGGGGAAGCCGATTTCTGTGGTGTAAATATTCCCACCACGGCTGGCAGTGGTCATGGCAGAGGGACCAAAGTGTCAGCTGGCTCATAAGACGCCTGAGCGTTTAGCAGCTGGTCCTCGCAAGGCTGAGACGCAGGGCGGGCAAAGAATGCACTCAGGGAAAACCATGAAGGTCGGAAAAGTACATATACTCTGAGAGTCTTGCAGACAGAGACGACGATTTGTGCAAAGGGCCTGAGATCAGAAGAGCTTGGTGTGTTCCGGGAACAGAAGGGCCGCTGGTGTGGGCCGGAGCTTCGCAGGGTGGAGAGAGGAGCAGGCGGGGGCAGGGCTCCTAGGCCACGGCCCCAAGTGCAGATTTTATTCCGAGGCTCCCGGAAGCCTTTGGAGGGTTGAGCAAGGGAGTTAGTTCCAGATCTGGTTTGCATGGTCGCGAGGTGGCTGAGCTGCCCTGTGAAAGACCGGGAAGCTGACGGGTGCGGCCGTGAGAGGAGATGGAAGCTCAGACCGTGCGTCCAGGGAGAGGCCAGCAGGGGAGGGGTTCAGGTCGAGCTCTGGGGGTGTGATCGGCCTTCTCTGCTCGTGTTCCCTGGCTGGTAGCCAGGTGTCTGCCCCACTTGCCGCTTCTGCCCAGCTCTCGGGGAGAAGGAAGCAGCTCGGGCATGGGCTCGCTCTGTCCCCTGCCTGCTCTGCCTCTCCGTGCTCCGTGAACCTGTGCTCTCCACCTCCTCCTGCTCCATCCAGGAGAGGAGATGTGGGTCCAAATGCAAAGCAGAAACAGCACCAAGAAAATCCCTTTCTCCTTTGATTCTTGTCACCGACAGCGGGGCGGCTCTGACTTGGGTTCCTACCTTTGCCCAAGGCTGTCTCCTGGGTGTGTATCAGAAACTTAGGCAAATGTCGTGGGTGTCAGCCTGGCAGATGGCGAAACTGTGAATGCCCGCCCCACTGCCAGCCTCTCTCTCTGCGGGGTTTCTAGAGGGGGACACGGGACTCCATCGCCCCAGACCAGCCTTGTCCCGTGGAAGGCTCTGCGACGATGGACAGGCGCTGCTGCTCATGGTAGCCCCTGCGACATGTGGCTAACACGGCTGGGAAATGGTGTTTTCAATTCTCTTGGTCTAAGGAGTGCAGTCATGTGTCTGGTAGCTCCTGTGTCAGATCCAGCGTGGCAGGAGAGCCCGCTGGGGTCGAGCTGCAGAGTTGGGGGAGATCTTGGTGAGTTTTTAGTGGTTACGACTCCCCTCTGTCAGCAGAGAGAAGGTGGAGGCAGTGGAGAGGGGACATGAATTGCAGTGATGAGACAGGAACCAATCATCAAATCTCAGCGAAGCATCCTTTTGTCTTTTGTTATATAAATGAGTATTTTTATTTTTTAAGTTTCAAAAATTAATGAATATCTCTCATCCACTGGTTCACTCCCCAAATGTGACAGCATCCAGGGCTGGGCCAGGCCAAAGCCAGGAGCCAGGAACTCCATCCTGGTTTCCCATATGGGTGCAGGGATCTGAGTCCTGGGGCCATCAAGCCTGCTGCCTCTGAGCTGCAGTAGCAGGAAGCCGGATCAGAAGCAGAGGCGGGACCTGCTCCCTGGCACTTTGATATGGGCTATGGGCATCTCAGATAGTGGTTTTACCTGTTGGACCAAAATGCCCACCTATAAATGTGTATTTTTTAATAGAATTTATTTACTTGAGAGGTAAGTTATAAGCAGAGGGTGAGAGACAAAAAGATCTTCTATCTCCTGGTTTACCCCCAAAATGGCTGCAATGGCCAGAGCTGAGCCGATCCAGAGCCAGGAGCTTCTTCCAGGTCTCTCACATGGGTGCAGGGTCCCAAGCACTTGGGCCATCTTCCACTGCTTTTCCAGGCCATAGCAGAGGGTGGATCAGGAGTGGAGCAGCTGGGACACGAACATGTGCCCCTTTGGGATGCCAGTGCCACAGGCAGAGACTTAGCCCACTGCTCCCTAAATGTGTATTCTCAGTCCCAGTATTAAATCCCCCATGGGTTGCAAACTCACAGTGCTCTTTGACCACCTTCTCAATCTGGAGCTGCTCCTCCATCCCTAGAGGCGATCCTTATGTTGTCAGTTTGGAGCGCATCCTTCCACACCTTTTCCTATTGCATATACGTGTGCATCAGTGGATGGACGGAAAGCATTCTGCATTGTTTATAAGTTGCCTCATGCTGCATGTAGTTTCCTACACAGTGCTGTTCTCTGTTCTAGATCATTCTGGGCCAGTTCATAGACCTCTACCTTAAAATGGGTGCCCATCTGATGGGTGAGAACTGCTGTTTCATAGCTGTGTAATTTAAAATTTTTCTGTTTAGAAGTCAAACTGAACATCTTTCCTGTAGTGGTGATCTGTGATTTTTCTCTCAACTGCCTGTTCAAATATCTTGCCCATTTTTCTGTTGGATGGCTTTATTAATTCATTCAGCAAACAATATCCTCGAATGACCACCACCTGCCAGGCATCAGTCCAGTGCGGGAGACTGTGTGTCCAGTGAAGCAGACAAGCGCCCCTACCTTCTAAGAGGGGACAGTTTAGTTGTGAGGGAGACCCGGGTATGATCTCAGGAGAGCACTGGGCCTGGAGGCTCCACCTCGAGCGGGGTGGCCGGGCCTCTGTCTGCCCCTCACTCACCTGGAGGCGATTGTCTCGGTTCGTCTTTCACCTGTTGAGATGTGGCCCACGTTTTCCTCCGGTCTTCGGTTGTCTTGACTCAAATGGTGATCTTTTTTTTTTTTTTTTTTAATTTTAAACTCAAACTTTCTTTGTCAGCTGATTGTCCTTTAAGAAGTGAAAGTTCTTTGTTCCTCTCACCCCGGGCAGCCGTTGCTGAGGTCTGAGTTTGTCCTTTCCGTCCTGGCTGGTGCCCACCCTCATCACTTCCAGCTCTTTCTCCATGAGTGCTGTTCTGACCTACTGCATTCCTTCCCACGGCTGCTGAATAACCTGTTTTCAGCAGGGATCCCTGTAACTTACCAGGGCAGTCCCTCTGGCCGGCCATCACGGCCTCCTCTGAACAGTGTGGCGGCCGTGCCCTGGCTGCTGCCCGCACGCGGCGTGTGTGTCGCCCTGCGTGTGCGCCACTCTGCTGTCTTGTCCCCGCAGCTGCACGGCTACATGGAGAACAAGCCTCTGGGGCTGCAGATCTTCATCGGGACGGCCGACGAGCGCATTCTCAAGCCGCACGCCTTCTACCAGGTGCACCGGATCACGGGGAAAACCGTCACCACCACCAGCTACGAGAAGATCGTGGGCAACACCAAAGTCCTGGAGATCCCGCTGGAGCCCAAGAACAACATGAGGGCCACGTAAGGGCCGGGGATGGCGCTGGGGAGGGAAGTCCGGGCGCCCGGCGGCGGCTCTGGTCTGTGAGTGCCCGCGGTGATCTCTGCTTTAGAACTTTCTGTTCCCCGTTGGCTACCTCACTTCCCAGATGGCTGCAGCAGCTGGGGTTGGGCCACGCTGAAGCCAGGAGCTTCTTCCAGGTCTCCCACATGGGTGCAGGGGCCCAAGCACTTGTGCCATCTTCCACTGCTTTCCCAGGCCACAGCAGAGAGCTGGACCAGAAGTGGAGCAGCCGGGACTCGAACCAGCACCCATGTAGGATGCCAGCGCTGCAGGCGATGACTTTACCCCCTGTGCCACAGCACTGGCCCCTGTTTAGAAAGTTTTATATGAAAATATTTTCAATCAATGCTGAAGAAAAAACAAAAATTGTTGAATTCTGTTGCTTTGAATTCCATTACATTAAAAAAAATTGCACTTGACCTAGAGAAATTATTAACTATGCAGAATGGCCATGCTCAGAAAGCTAATATGGTTATGGCTAACATTTAGGAAACACTGCACACACATTCTGGGGTTAAAAAGCCTTTTTATGAAAAAATAAAGCCAAACACAACAGGAAAATGCGAGAATCCTACACAGAACTCCTGAACCGCGTCCGTGTGCATTGCGGGTGTCCCTGGCTTCCATCTCTGCTTCGTCACTCTCGGCTTGTTCCTGGGCCGCCGAGACCCGGCGGCTGGCCTTGGCCCCTTTTGTTTTAAACCCCAGCACGCGCTTCCTGCTCACCCGGAGGTTTCTCACCCAGCCAGGGTCCCTTACCCAAGCCGGGGACTTCCTGTAGAAGCGCTGCCCTCCGCCGCCGTGCAGTCCACCAGCTGCACACTGGGCGTTTTCAGATGCTTTTGAGAGTAGAGGAGTTGGGACGAGAAGCCTCCCCAGAGAGGCACCTTCCCCCTGGGGAACCTCTCTGGTTGCCTTGGAAGGCGGTTTTACGCCACCTCGGCGTACTGCGGTGTCCCCCTGTGGCCGCCAGCTGCCCAAGCTGGGTCTGTGGCGGATCGATCCTGCTCATTTAGGGGGTCCCTTATAAACGGGGCTGTCCATCTCCCGCAGCATCGACTGTGCGGGGATCCTGAAACTCCGCAACGCCGACATCGAGCTGCGCAAGGGTGAGACGGACATCGGCAGGAAGAACACGCGGGTGAGGCTCGTGTTCCGGGTGCACATCCCCGAGGCCAGCGGCAGGATCGTCTCCTTGCAGACGGCGTCCAACCCCATCGAGTGCTGTAAGTCGGGTGCTGGGCTGGGTCCTCTTGTGCAAAGCATCCCGTCCGTGAGCTCCCACGCTGGGCGGAACAGGGCGCCCAGGGTGGCCGGCGAGTGTCCGCCCCCCCCCCCCCCCCACAGGGTATAATCTGGCCCAAGGGCCACGTAAGGGTTTTCTCTGCTTCTGTTGCCTTGTGGAGGGTTTTGTGGCCTTACAGGAAGTTTTAAAAATCATACAGCTAGCGAGTAGCCCACAGCTTTGTCGAGAAGATTTGCAACGTTTATAAATGTGATGCTCCTCTTGGAGCTTTGAGTCTGCGAGTCGCTGTGCAAAGCGCTCCGTGTGCAGGAGCTCGTTAATATTCACAGCGGCTCCTGACAGTGCTGGTGTCACTGTGCCCACTTTACAGATGAAGAGGGAGTAAGTGGTGTCCATGACCAGAAGCAAGAGGGCAGGTGTCTGGCCTTGGCTGAGTTGATGGCTCTTGCAGCTGTGCCGCGCCCCACCCTCGGTTTGCTAGGCTCAGGGCTCGGGCGCTGTGCCGGCTGCTGGGGGTCTGCAGAGGAGTGCGACTCCTCTCCGCGCTCGCCAGCTTCCGGTCTGGCAAGTAAAGGGCTGGAAGGTTGCAGCGGCTTTTCAGGATCCGGGAGGGAGTGGCCGAGACAGGCCCTTCGGGAAGGTTCTGCGAGAAGCCTGGCTCAATCCCACCAGGTTTCAGAATAGCCACAGCCTTGCGTTCACACCTCGGCGCCTCTTGCAGCAGTTTTGTTCTTAGTTTCTGTAATTCGAAGTGACGAGGCTTACTGTCTGCTCAGTGGTTGAAAGCGTAGAAGTTAAAAAGCATACAGGAGAAAAACGTTAACGTTGTTCTAGAAACAAAAACTGTTTGTTACTTTGGAGTTCTCTTTCCTAAGAATGTTTTGTGCTGTTATGTTCCAGGTTAAAACTGATGGTTCAGAATTTTTTTTTCTGTTTTTACTGGACATTTTACTGTAACTGTCACAAAGTCAGCTTCCCGCAGAGGTGACAGGAAGGAGAGAAGGGGGCTGGGTGCAGTTCGAGGAGGGGGAGGACACATCCCCCACCCACCCTGCTGTCTGTGACTGCTCCAGGAGAGAAGAGGTAGCAGGGCCCTCGCGGGTTGGACGCCCGCAGGGCGGCGGGGTGCACCCTTCTCTGGGTCTCGCCTGGTCTTTGGAAACGAGCTGAGGGGCTCTGCCAGTGAGGCTGCAGGGCAGGCTGAGCTGGTGCCTGTGTGTGCTCTCGGGAGCCTGCATGCCTCTCCCACTGCTCTCCCCAAATGCCCACGGCTGGCTCCTTTATAAGCCGAAGAGGTTTGTTGAGCTCACAGTTGTAGAGCCTGAAAGCCTAAGATTGGACAGCCCCATTCGTTCGGCCTCTGGTGAGGGCCCTGGGCTGCAGCCTAGCAGGTGCATCCTGGCAGGAGGTGGCGGAGTAGGACGGGAATCCGGAGAGATTCAGGCTCCAGGCTGGTGCTGTCTGCTGACTGCCTGTCGCTGGCACTGGCTCACTCCGTGAGCCCAGCGTGCACCCCTTCCCAAGTGGTTGGCCACGTGCATTGATCCCACTTCAAGGTTCTGCCACCTCCCAACGCCACCACCACTGGGGACCACGCCTCCTGCATGTGAACCTTTTAGGACGCACTGGAGCCGTATCCGCATGGCTCGCAGCACAAAGATCCGGGCGCTGCTTGCAATGAGTGCTGCGAACCACAACGGCGCAGAGTTGCTGGAAGTCCCCCGCGCTGCGCTGCCCTGCCCGGCTCGGCGGGCCTCGCCGGTTCCCCAAACGCTGCTCATGGCCACTGTCCCGCCCCGGCTTTGGTTTTGAACACCTCACGATGTTTTGGGGAGAGAGCTCTTGATCAGTGATCCTGGTGTGTGTGTTGGGCGGGGGTTTGAGCAGAGACGGTACCACCCTTGCTGGCTAGGGGCTCACTCCCCGGGCAGGGCTGTGGTCCTTGCTTGATACAAGCCTGTGTCCTCTGTTTCTTTGGTTCCTCGAGTCCACTTAGCTGGTGGCGATCTGAGATTGGAGGATCCCCGCTGAGCCGCGTGCGCGTCCTGCTGGCTCTTAGAGGCGTTGGAAAGTCGTCTGGACCCTGCAAATCCTGAGGCTTTTCTTGTAGCGTGCGTTTGGCTGCTTCAGCCCCTCGGCTGGCAGACCAGGAAGCTGAGGCTTTCTCGGCGAGTGATTCAGCCGCTGTGCGGGCAGGGAGGAGGCCGAGGCTCCAGCTTCCTCGTTCTGGGCAGCACCTTCTCCTTTTGGTTTCTGTCGCACCACCCACCCCGGTAACGCCACACTGAGCTGCCGGTCGTCCCTCTGCCTCCCGCCGTGGTTTCTGTCTCCTCCTCTGTTCTGTTTTTCTAGCCCTGTGCCTGGTGGCGCCACTTTATTTATTTGTTTGTTTATTTGAAGGGCAGAGTTACAGAGAGAAAGGCGGGGGTGGGGTGGGGTGGAAATAGGTCTTCCGTCCGCTGGTTCCCTCCCCAGATGGCTGCAGTGGCCAGGGCTCGGCCAGGACGAAGCCAGGAGCCGGGAGCTTCATCCTGGTCCCCCACGTGGGTGCGGGGGCCCAAGCACTTGGGCCATCTTTCACGGTTTTCCCAGGTGAAGTAGCAGGGTGCTGGATCAGAAGTGGAGCAGCCGGGACTCGAACCATGGAGGGATGCAGGTGGCGGCTTTACCTGCCGTGCCATAAATGCCGGCCCCTTCACAAATATTTACCGACTGCTCGACCTACTGTGGACTGCGTGGGGAGACGTCCTGAGTGTGGTGGCACTCAGCCGCTGGCGTGTAGTGACACAGGATGGTAACGTAAATATTTATGGATGAATCCGTGAGTGGGCTGCTTCTTACCCCAGGCTGCCTTAGTCACGGCGGAGGTGGCTTTTATATCTCATCTCTGACTCTGGCAGGAGGAAGCAGGAAGCAGCGACGAGCGGTCCCGCCTGGCTTTGCTGGACACGCAGCTTCCTAACGTCTGTCCACACTGCCTGCTCGGGGTGCAGGCTCACTGGCGCGGACGGGCTGGGCTCCCTGGCGGCTCCCGCCCGGGGTCTTGTTACCGGGGGGGCCCTGCTGGTGTTCCCCGGGCGCCCGGGAGGGCTGCTTGGATCCTTCCACGGTCTCCCCCAACTGGGTGCTGCCTGTGCCCCTTCCCACCCGGGCAGAGGACACTCCGGGGAGCAGAGCTGGGCTCTGCGGGAACAGCCTCACTTTCCCAGCGCCTTGAGAGGTGGCTGCAGGCGGTGTGCTGGGTGCCCTGCCCCAGGTTCCTGCGGGTTCTTCGCTCCCACCCCAGCTTCCAGAGGTGGCCACGCCAGCCCCTGCTTCCTCCTGGAGTCAGCTTCCCACGGGGTCCCAACTGATGACCCCCTCCGGGGGAGGGGCGCTTCAAGCATCAGAGAGGGCTTGTCGCCTCCCGGATCTGGCGGCTCTGCGGGAGCAGCTGTCCCCGCCTCGCTCTCAGCTCTCGGCCTGGCTCTCCCTGTGCCTGCCTTTTCCGTGTCGCTCTGCCTGCTTCTCTGTCTCTGGCGAGGGTGGGCTCATTGTACCCCCTCCCATCCAGGAGGACCCCTGGGATGGGCTGGGTATGTGGTGTGGGGGAGGGAGCCACAGCCTCCACCCCCCTCCATCTCTGCAGCTGGCTCCCTGGCTGCCCGCGCCCAGCTCCCCACGGCCTTTGTCTGCACTGTCCCCTCCAGCAGGTCACAGGCTCTCCAAGGGGGCTGTGTGATGGAACCGCTTGGGGGCTTAGGGAAGGGATGCTGATGCCCGGAACCCACCCCCGAGACCGGCCCTGGGCACAGGACTTCTCAGAGGTCCACAGTGGCTGATGTCTCACCTGCTCGCTCTCTCTCTCTCTCTCTCTGACCCACGTGTTCTCTCTGAACTGTAATTAAGATGTGGCAGGTTGCACAGATTGTGTTTGGTCAGTGAGTTTTGACAATTGCACGTACTGATGTTCTGATTTCTATCACCGTTGCTAGCTGTCCACGCCCGAGAACGTGGTGGAACGGAACCGCACACTGCGTGCCCCTGGGGGCCGGGCTGTGGCCCCGTGGCTCCGCTCCTGTGTCGCGCTGTGTGGCTGAGGCAGGCGGCCGGGTCGGTCTTGTGGTCTGGTGTTAGGGACACAGCTGCTGTGAGTGTGTTTTTTTGGGCGAACCCCTGGGTCACGGTGAGCGTGTGGGCGCCGATGCACGTTCTGGGTCATCTTGCCCTTGACCAGGGCGTAGGCAGGTGCCGCACCCTTGCTCATAGCTGGAACCAGGGGCGCCTCCGCTGCAGCCCTCGCAGCCCGCCTAAGCTGGGATCTCGCGTGCTTTTCATTGAACGCTGATGGCACGACCCCGTCTTCCCGTGCTGTGGGCCGCGTGTCTGCCTTGGGGAGAGGCCTGTTGCAATCTCGTGCGTTGCTGGGGCTCCGTACATGGCGCACAGCGTGGCCGTGGGAGACTCGTGCAGGGATGGTCTTTGCTGTTGGTGGCTTGTGGCTTCATGGCTGACGGTCAGGGTATGGGCCTTGGGGTTGACATCTGTCTGCAGGTTCTTCTAGAAACGTTGGCTCTGGGTGATGACCTCAGGGTGCTCATGCAGGGATGAGGCCGGGTCAGGCACCACCGGTTCCCCCCGGGCGAGTCGGTTGCATTGTCCCACCTGCCGCCTCCTGATGCCGGAGCTTTGAAAGCCCTCAGCGGTGCCGACCCTCCCTCTGGGCCCCACTGCGCTGTCCCAGGACAGCTCGGGAGGGAGACGGTGGCCAAGCCTGGAGCCTCAGCGAGGCCGGGCAGCAGCTTGTCAGCTTCCCTGGTTCCCGCCGTGTGCGGATCCCGCCTGCACCCTCCTCGGGGTCCTCCTCACGGGTGTTGCTTCCACTAGAACCGTGCTTGCAGAGTGACAGACACGCTCCACCGAGGCCCTGAGGGAGCAGCCACCAGCAAGGCCAGTGCCTGCTCGCACAGGGGCCACGTTCTAGTGGGAAGACAGAAATAG